TAGGGGGGGTCGACTTGTACTGGAGTTGTTAATTCTGTACATTTGAGATTATTTTCTACTCTTAAAGCGTGTTAAATGCATTGTCTAACCCGTCTACGATCGTTATACACATAAATTATTAGTTTAAATTCGATTAAACGAAAAAATACATAGCAAAATTTATAATTTAATTTAAATTTCGACGACTGTAAGCCACGTTTTAACCTTAAAAAAATAGCTTATAAAACTACACGAGTTTAAAATATGCTCCTTCCCTTCATTAACATTCGATAACACGCTCACCCCTCTACATTTGAAGCTAAAATTTTCTTATTAAATCACAGTTTAAAGAAGGAAAAAATAAAAATAAGATAGAAGAAAGTTGCAAAATAATCAGATTGGAATAAAATATTTGACTTTTATCTACATTTTAAAATGAAAATGATGTAAGTGAATAAATTATATGAGATATGTGCTTACAATAATCTATGTGGAAGGAAGAAAAAGCATTCATTAAGTGCAATGATCTTAAATGAATGTGGCAAGTCTGAGGGCAGTTCCCCTTCAAACGGGCCTTCTTTTTAACCATTAAAGAGCATGTTCGATAACTAGACTACACGAAAGTATGTTTTTTTTTTCTTTCTTTCCTATCCTTCAACTATATAAATCTACTTCCAAAGCGATAAACATTTATAGCTCTGTTGCATAGATCTACTTTACTACAATTAAAATACACTTTGTAATTTAATTACGTTTCGTGACAAACTATTCATTTACTTAAAGCATAGAATTTAAATTATAATTAACAAAGAATACTTGAAAATTCTTGCATATATTTTTATTTTATTTTAAAAAATTCCCTTGAATAATTATGCTTATATTTTACGTCTTTGAATAGGATTTAATTAATATAATTATAAATAGAAAGAATAATCTTAAAGAGAATTTATATAGAAATTATAGAAAAAATTCTAGAGTATTTTAATAAACATAAAAGATTCCTAAAATAATTATCTAAATAACTATTTTTCGTGTAAACAAGTGAAGGGAGAGAGAGATAAAGAGAGAGAATAAAGGATATAATTATTTACATTTAAATAGGAAAAAATTAATATAATTTCTTTTTTTAACTTTTAAAAATGTATTTTATAAATTCTTCTACTTTAATATTAATCGACATATAAACAAATTAAGTTATTAATATTCGATTTTTTTATTTATTCTTTTTAAACTGAAACCCGAAGGAAATTTATCTGATTTATTTTAAACGTCTTCTATAAATATTTAATTACCTGTATTTTAAAAGTAGGAATAATTTTTTTAATTTAACGACTTCTTTAATATATTTTTTCCCCTTTTTTTCCCTTTTTTTTTATCGAATTTTTCGAGAAGAAACTTATTTGATAGGTTATCTTCCATCTCTCTTTAGTCAGATGTAACGTAACTTAATCATCTCCGTGACAGCTTGTTATTCGTACGTAAGATATCATTGAGATGCAAATTTTGTTTAATTAGCTATAAGAAAAGTATTTTTTAAATAAAAAAAAAAAATTAAATAATTTTCTTCAAAATTTAATAAAAGTTAAGTTAGATCAAGGCTACCATTGAAACAAATGGAATTTCTAGTATTAAAATGTTCTTATCTTAGGTTTTTTTTCTTTAAAATATAATTATACATAATGTTCGGTTGTCTGTCCTTTATACAATTCTAAAAACCTTATATATATATATATATATACAGTTATTCTCTATAGAAAATAAAGGCTACCAAGAACCATTATTAACTCCTAAACCCTTTGTACGATCCGTATCAAATTTTCTATACGGAAAATACACTTGAAAAGGTACACTTCTACTTCTTAGATGATGTTCCTTGAGAGAATATGCAGTCGGAATGATTGAAAAAAATATCTCCCCCCCTTTTTTTTATCCAATGGTAATATTAATTAGTTAATGCATTTAAATGTTTGAAGTGAAATAAGGAGTATTTTCGAATTATACTAAAGAAAAGTTCGGTGCCCCGGGCATTATCTATAAGAATTTCTATGTAATTATCACAGTTTATACCATTTTCTTTTTATATGTAAACAAGAACAGTCTCTTTTCATCCGTTGGGATTTCGTGTTATTGAGATAGACGACCGCCGAGTTGTTTATTTCTATTCTACAACAACTTTAGTTTCAATACAAAGCTAGACTATTCAAATAATTCCTTTCTAGTAGGATTTCCAAGAATACATAATTACAGATCAACTGTCTGTAACGAACTTATTCAATTAAGTTAGGTCGCGGGTTCTAATTGAACTTCTCCCTCTCAATCGGTAAACACGTTACCAGCCAAAAAAATGGTTAGTTAGACTTTTATATATTAATATATCAATGAAAAAATATCATAAATTATTTCTTTTATTTAAAAATAAATTGGTAATATCATATAGTATTATAGTACAGGCCTATATTCATTAGGCAAGTGAGATATACACGTGCCTAGAAGCTCCTTTTCTAGGGTCCTAAACTGGATAAAATAATATTACCGTTGTAATTGTATATAATAATTTATAAATAATTCTTCTATAGATTAGTTTATTAAGTAAAATTATATTGAGGAAGCTCGAATCTTGTGTCTATAACACAAGATTTGAGACTCCTTAACTAGAGGTAGTGGCACGTTATCCTACGGGCATAAAGGGGTAATTACTTGGGGTTTCTACCGACAGGAAGATCAAACCAATCTATTATAAGAAAATATTTCCCCAAGAAGTTAACACTGTACTATACGTGAGGCCTTCTAATTCAAATTTATGAAGTTATAACTGTCTATTGTCTAAAGGCCCGAAAGGTCTTAATTTACCAATACAAGATATACAAGGATATAAAAGAATACGATAATACACGATAATATATACTAATGTACAATAACATTTTCGATTTATTTTACAATTTTAAAGGAAGTCTTTCAGGTATTATTTATTTCCCCTTTTTCCCTCCTCTCTCTCTCAAATCGTCACTTCATTTAAACTCTGACATTCAAATCTGTAGGAGAACGATAATTGAGTTACATTTTTATAAAAATTGTTCATTAAAAAATAGTATTACAACAACATAAATACGTTACCAAAGGCAAAAGTATGGTATTATAAAAGATTAACGCCTACAGCACATGTGTATTTGAATCTCCATCTTAAACACTACCAATTCAAGATTTAAATTTTATTTATATTTTCGGTTTTTAAAACGACTTTGGAGAATTTATATTGGCTTTTTTTCCCCCCTCCCTCTTTCTTTTATATAAAGAAAGAAATGTGATTACAAGTTTTTATTGCAAAAAAAAAAATCCTCTGATAGAAGCTGAATTTTTATATCTTTCAACCCGAAGCTTTGTTTAAAATTAATAAATTTATCATCATAAAGGGGTGGATGGGTGTTAGAATAAATTTTTGATTTTATAATATTGAAAATATATACAGATTTGTAGAATTTTTAATCCTCAGATTGGCGCCCACGTTTCCTAAAAAAAAAAGAGGCACCGTTGGGTGATGAAAACGATGTGAGAAGTAATTTATTCCCCCCATTCGTTCACGTATAAGCTGCGACCGGTGGGAGAAGTGTTCCTATCTGTTGCCTTAAAAAATAAAAATAAAAAAAGTGTATCGATCTCATGCTTAGGCATTCCTAAAGGCTTGCTAAAACGAAAGAACATACGGTCGAATGGCAACAGATTGAAAGTCTAGAAGTATCAATAGAGAGAAATCATTCGCACGTTTTCCACAGATTACCAGAAATCCAAACTCGAAACGTGATTTAGCTTTTAATAAAAATGTCATTCTAAAAAAAAAAAAAAAGTAATTATCTAATTAAAGAATACCTTAGAGGAATACCAAATTTTTATATTGGGATGTTAAGGTACAGTACTTCATTTATTTATTAAAGATTGCATTGAAATTATAAAAAAATCATTTAAATGTTAGATAGATCCCTATAGGATCCGTGTGTCTTTTTGATTATTCATAGAATGTTTAAACGTTCGTGACTACTGAGAATCACATACTTAATAGAGCCTTTATCAATCCTCCAATAGAGGAACATGTAAATGTCCAAATAACATCTTCATTATCTCAATTTATAAGTTGCTCATGTTTACGTTATTAAGACACGGTGAAGAGTGTTTAGCTACTTGTTATTCATTTCGTATTAGAAAGTGTTATACATATAATATAAGTGTTATAAGACTATGAAAATAATTGTTCGCTTATAGGAACGAAATCAATAGAGAAAAACTGGGATTTATCCGGAAGCGAGACAATTAACATATATAAATACGTAATGATGTGCTACCGTATCGACAGTAATTACCTACAATTAGTATACTGGATTTTTATCAAACGATACTTTATTCCTTAATAGAAGTAGAAAGACCCCCCTTCTTTTTAAAAAAAAACCATACAAAAATGTATGGAGACCCTCTAAAAAGTCTAGCATTAGTTGGAAAAACAGATAGAAGATGCCGAAATCGTCGGCAATTCTGACATTTGTAAATGATAGAAATTAATTATATTTAACATCCTCCGAAGGAGAAACAGAGAGAGAGAGAGAGAGAGAGAAAATGAGTAGAGACGGTTGATATATTTTTATTTAAATTAAAAATTACTTAAGAAAATCGGTTATTAATTTGACGAATAGATTAAAGTTTGCCGGAGGAAATTAATTGATAAGTAAACAATGGTTTGTTTATCGCCCATTGAAAAGTTTTAAATTAGTTAAATAGGAAAAGCACGATTGAAATAATGGTTATTATTTAGTGGAGAACCTAGAAAAATGTTTTTCTAGAGAAAAACACTTATGTAGATATAATACAGTTTAGGTCATTCAACTGGCACAGTATATATAAACGAAGTTTACACGGACGATGGCTATCCTAGTAAAATATAAGACCCCCCCAGGCTCTTTTCCTTTTTATCTTATTCCTTAAGTACATTGTTGGCTCCTAATTCGTTCGTTAGCATACATAATATGTTGACTTACCTAACATAGGCGTGGTATCATCGTCGCAAATTCCAACAGAACAGGGCATGATTATTTCCGGACTGCTTTCGTAGCACAGACTTAAATCTTCTAAACCTTCACCTGTACGAAGGAGAGAGAAAAGGGGAGGAAAAATGATATTAGATGGGGATGTCGAATTACACGATGCTTAAACCGCTAGCTGACCAAAATCTGTGATTTACTAGCTGTTTCACGAGTGACAAGCACTGTTCTCTTACGCCGCATCAAATCAATATTGTCAACCTGCGGTTAACACAGTTAGGGTGGCTATTAGATCTGTCTATCTAGCGACTACCGAATCGGAAACTTTACTATTATATTATTTTCTGGTTTAATAAATGAATAATTATATCAATTTTAATGAATTTTACGTATATATTTAAATACTTACGTTTTAATGCACGGGGGTTAGCCTGTTTGCGCCGGGACATGGTCGACGACGCTTTATGGGTGCTGTCGCCTCCACCCCACGCACACTACACACACCACACAGTGACAGCTGACTGGATACTCTCGTATTCAATCTAAAGCCGAGTCTGGCATGTGGAGGACGCTACGTCATGGAGACTGTCCCCGCAGGAAATGAGCGGGCCGCGAGGAGGTTGAAAGACATCGTTCGAGTCGCTCGGGGAATTAGCGTACGATCGAACGAGAAGATGCTGTGTTCCTGCTGAGCATTATCGCACTCGGTACTCGTCTTCTACCCATCATCTGACGGTAAACCATTTAGCATCGTCTCTGCAAGAGCTTAAAGGGGAGGACAACCGAGTGCTTACCATTCTACTTCCTTATCACTTAGCAGCGTGTGGGAAACTTCCGGTCATGCGCAATGACGGCCAAGGACAGGTGGGGCATCACGTGATCGCGCGTGACCCCTAGGGAATTTTTTCTATCCTTCTCCCAAGGGACTTTCCTCTTGACGTCATATCGTAGATGAGTGAGTCACCCAGGCCAATTTCCTCTGATTCCCGTCTTTTATCCATCGGGGAAGAGTTTCTTTCCAATGTTTTCATTTAAGTTTTTCTATTTCCACACGGATTCTCTACATTTGGCTGCCATTAAATACCATCTGCAGCCTTTTAAATCGCAACAGCTTGCGCTCTTTTATTTTAATTAAACAACAAATTAAATCTACCCCACTTTTATATATATATATATAAGTTTAAATTTATAAATTTTCTTAATATCTAACACTTATGTTAGCATTTAAATAACCATTAAATAGTTTAATACATTTCAACTAATGTTTATTATTTTAATTACAAGGTGTTTCATTAAATGCAAATTAAACTCTGCTTCCTATAACGAAACACAAGACAAAACCCTCTCTTCTCTTTCTTATCCCCTTACTCTCTTCCTTTCTTCATCTTAAATGGGTCGACCCCTCCTATATTATTCCGTTTTATATGAATTCCATGTTGTACGAGTCACTTAGATTTTACAAATACGTGTGCCGTTCACAGTTCGGCACACGTATTTGTAAAATCTATGTGACTCGTACAACATGGAATTCATATAAAACAGAAAAATCAACAGTGTTATAGAGGGGTCGACTGTTAATAATAAATAAACTTTTACCTTACAGAATACGATGTGATGTTAATATTTTTAAGTAATCAAATAGGTTATCTAAAGACAGAACGTCAGAACGTTAACACAACACGAATAATTAATTAGAATTAAATACAAAATAGACGTTCTTGTTAAAGTATTGGCTAACAATACGAATCAAATGTAGGTATAATTGGAGAAGACGAGGCAAAAGTTATTCTGTATTCTTCCCACCTGATATCATTAGCCAATTATTACGTCATGACACAACTCTCAAGAATGGATAAATGGAGGTCGACAGAAAGTCATCAATCATTTCTGTTCAAAAAATTCGAGCTTTGTTGCTGATGAACTTAATGGCTTTGAAATGTTTCCAACTACCTACGCATATGCCTTTGTCTAAAGAGTAAAGTAATTAGCGTTATAATTTCTTCACTGGGTATTAACTAAACACAGTGTTATTCAATGGCTTTTATTAATCTTATCAAATATTCTTTTATAATATATCTATAAATTTATTTGTAAATCAGAAAACACAAAACACCAATTAAGGAAGAAGATTTAAACAGTTTTAACAGGCCTAAGAGAGGGAGGGGCCTGTTATATTTTATAGCTTAGGATTTCAAGTTTGTTAAGGCCTCTCGTTTTTAGATCTATTATTAATTAGGGGAATGGAAGGGCCTTTTAGTATCAAGACAAGTGTGTAGTTCGTTTTATCTTATGTTTACAGTGTTCCTTTATTGTAATGTTCTAAACTATTGTTCATTTATCTGTTCGTTTAAATGGTTAACAAATATATATATGATTTTAATAAGTCTATTTAAATTATATATTTAATTATTCTATTGTTATGGTAGCACCAAATTTACAATATAAAAAACTCGTGTCTATTCTATTTAAAGAATTTGATATAAATACGTAAAAATATATCCTATAAAATTTAAAACAAAAAAAATTTCTTAAATTTTCTTCTAGGGCCCCAGAAGGCCTTAATCCTTTTATGCCTCTAGGTATAGAAGATTGGGGTCTCTCTACACACGTGTAATTGTATGGCTAATTATTAATAACTTATGGTACACAATTGCAACATTAAAACTACTTTATTTTTTTTCCAATTTAGGACCCTTCGTGTCATATGTTTTTAATCAATTTAACTAAACTTCTACTGTTTAAATCTAAATTAAAATTAGAATTAGGCCTATTTATATTTTTTAAATTATCTTAAATACTACAACGAAGATCTATTTATTACTCCTATTTTATATATTTAAGGGCCCTAAACAACTGGTGAACTCGACCCCTTTCTTTAAAAGATTTTAATAATTAACAATATTAAAAAAAAAAAATAAACTCCTTAGATAATTTAGGGCCTTATAAAACTGTAGTTTCTAATTAGGCATTTACTTAGAACCTGTAGTTATGTAGGGCCCTAGAGTCCTAAAATTGATCTGTAACTGACAGGACTGGACTTCTTAAACTTGTAATATATAACAGACACCAAATAACCCTACATATAAATAAAACTGTGTGTCCTAAAGCTGTAGATTCGTAACGTGAGGCCCTAAGCTGTGAAAATCCGGTCCTGTTAACTGAATAAGAAAGGGATGAAACAAGCAGTGAATTGGATCTCAATCTTAATAAATATACAATTATCAAACGAATAAATATGACAAGGAGCCCAAAGGCACCTTTTTTTAATGTTAAAAATGAAATATAATCAATATTAATCAATATATAATTGATTGAATTCAGAAATGAATTAATTTGAAATATAAAAACAGTTGTATTTTTATTTAAATATGTAAGAATTTCTTAATTTACATCTTGAATAACATATTATTTTACTTCTTTTTTTATTTATAAACTCATAGTATAAAGAGTTATTTACCTAGCAAGAATCATGTTTTAAATAATTCATAATGTAAAACTGCTATAGGCCCTTTATTAAATGGGCCTATAGCAGTATAAAATTTACATTATAAAACATTAAAAATTATAAAATTCATGTATATAAAAACAAGATATACATAACTACATCACAGTTGTATATAGTGTTAAGTATTATTTTCTGTTTTAAACTCTTACAATAGGATAATAGGCCCTATATATATATATATATATATAAAAGTTTTATGTATTATTTGCTGTCAAATTTTTTCAAAGAATCCCCAATTTAAAAATCTTTCTTGCAGTCAAATTCGAGATTACAATCGATGCTTTAAGGCAATAATCTAGACTACAGATGTTAATGCTTAGTCTACACAAGAAGAATCAGGAAATAAAGTATTGTAAAGCCCAATTATACGAATTCTAAACAATGACCACAATACAGTTGAATGTTAATTACAAGAGATATACGATACAAAATAACCTAAGACAATATAAGAGGAAGTAAGTTGTATTCTAACTTTTCTATTCTATGTTAATGGTATAGAAAAATTACAGTATCTTCTACAATAGGCCTGTATACAGTTTACGTAGGTTTTACTGTATCACTTTTATATATATAAAATTACATTTTAGAACCTTTATGTGTTATAGAGGCCCCAGTGATATGTTATATCTTCGTGGGGCCCAGAAAAATTTGAATTAGACTGGTTTGAGGCCTCCTATTTTGCGAAGACTCCAAGCAATTATCCTTTTTATGCCCTTTATAAGCTTAATAAGTGAATAAATATTTACATTATTTAGAAATAGAAGCTTACTTTAATTACCTTAAAAACAGGATTTCAACACAATATATTGTAGAAATGTATTCAAATTGTCTGTCAAGCCGATTATAAAAGAAAGAAAGAATATTAAAAAAAAAAAAAAAAAATACAACTTATATGTCGTAAGTTTTTAACAAAACGTGAAGATGTAAAGTTTTATTGTCCATCTTAAAAGATATAATTTACATCTGACAGGCAATATTCTTTAAGTTAAGTTGGGAACTTCGAACTAGAGTAGAGAGTATCAGCCTGGGGACACGACATTATGCGGTCTCTTTGATGTCACTGTTTTCAATGATGTCTTTTTCTGTGTCATGATTACAAACAAGATATCAACTTTTAAATGCGGGGGAATCATCTAACTTGTTTTCTCTTGACATCAGTTGGTTATATGACTTATAATTTTCCTTTCAGAGTATTGTTACGCGTATATATATATATATATATTTACAGTGTTCCTTTATTGTAATGTTCTAAACTATTGTTCATTTATCTGTTCGTTTAAATGGTTAACAAATATATATATGATTTTAATAAGTCTATTTAAATTATATATTTAATTATTCTATTGTTATGGTAGCACCAAATTTACNTAGGTATAATTGGAGAAGACGAGGCAAAAGTTATTCTGTATTCTTCCCACCTGATATCATTAGCCAATTATTACGTCATGACACAACTCTCAAGAATGGATAAATGGAGGTCGACAGAAAGTCATCAATCATTTCTGTTCAAAAAATTCGAGCTTTGTTGCTGATGAACTTAATGGCTTTGAAATGTTTCCAACTACCTACGCATATGCCTTTGTCTAAAGAGTAAAGTAATTAGCGTTATAATTTCTTCACTGGGTATTAACTAAACACAGTGTTATTCAATGGCTTTTATTAATCTTATCAAATATTCTTTTATAATATATCTATAAATTTATTTGTAAATCAGAAAACACAAAACACCAATTAAGGAAGAAGATTTAAACAGTTTTAACAGGCCTAAGAGAGGGAGGGGCCTGTTATATTTTATAGCTTAGGATTTCAAGTTTGTTAAGGCCTCTCGTTTTTAGATCTATTATTAATTAGGGGAATGGAAGGGCCTTTTAGTATCAAGACAAGTGTGTAGTTCGTTTTATCTTATGTTTACAGTGTTCCTTTATTGTAATGTTCTAAACTATTGTTCATTTATCTGTTCGTTTAAATGGTTAACAAATATATATATGATTTTAATAAGTCTATTTAAATTATATATTTAATTATTCTATTGTTATGGTAGCACCAAATTTACAATATAAAAAACTCGTGTCTATTCTATTTAAAGAATTTGATATAAATACGTAAAAATATATCCTATAAAATTTAAAACAAAAAAAATTTCTTAAATTTTCTTCTAGGGCCCCAGAAGGCCTTAATCCTTTTATGCCTCTAGGTATAGAAGATTGGGGTCTCTCTACACACGTGTAATTGTATGGCTAATTATTAATAACTTATGGTACACAATTGCAACATTAAAACTACTTTATTTTTTTTCCAATTTAGGACCCTTCGTGTCATATGTTTTTAATCAATTTAACTAAACTTCTACTGTTTAAATCTAAATTAAAATTAGAATTAGGCCTATTTATATTTTTTAAATTATCTTAAAT